ACTGGAAAAAAAAAAGCGTTAAAAAAAAAAAAAAAAAAAAAAAAAAAAGAAGGAGGGGAAGGCATAGTCCGGCTTGCTAAAGCTTATTGCCTTTTGGACTAGCATGCACAAGCTAATGAAAAAAGTACAGCGACCCAAAGAAACCAGTGTAAATGAACGTTTCTGGAATTAAACAATATAAGAAGGTTTCTGCCTAAGTATTGAACAATGAATCCATTGATCAGAATTTACTTCGGCAACTACATGTTTTTCAGTTGTTTTTGTAAACTGTTTGTACATATTTGCATTGTACACATATTGCAAGGATATGCTTTGTTTGACTCCTGGTAAGGTTTCTCTCCTGCTGGGTTATGCTATTTGAATGATATGCAATTGGAATTTAAAAAAAAAAACACTATAGGAATAAGCTGAAAAGAATGTTCATTATTTGTAGGTAAACAAAACACAACCACAGACTAGTTGTAATAGAGTCTTCATTATTTTTGTATACACGCAGCCCAAGTAACAGCCTCTACCTATAGTGAATAAATACAAAAAGACAGCTTTTTCAAGAGAAAAGTATTCAAGTACTTATTGAATGTAGCTTATATGTGCAGAGGAAATTCAGTATTAAGACAATCTTTCAAGTGGTTTGCATGCAGAGAGGAAATTAAAACAGCCCTTTCCCTGCGAATGGTCCATAGCTGTACTGGTCAGGTTGATGTGTTGGCAGTGGTAAAGCAATGCATTCATCAGTCCGGATTCCAGTTTGTAAACAAGCAATCGCTCAGGAGGGTGGTAAGGATGATGCAATTTTTTTTTAAATCATTGACATTAAAATACAAAAATCAGTGACAGTTATTGAACTTCGCTGGATTTTTTTTTTTTTTTTAACACTATTCAACTTTACATGCTTGTTAAAAAAAAAAACACAAAAACAAACCACTGAAGATTTCTGTTAATGCATTTTTGTAAGGCTTTGGTAGGGCTGCAGAGAAACTTGCACACACACAGCCCTTGTGTGCAAATAAAAACACAGTAGCAGCAATGGTATCTGGAAAGTTCAAAGAAAACGTCAGAAAAAGTGGATGTGATATCAATTCCAAAACAAATGTGACCAAAAAGCAGCAGTTTCTAGTAACGGCTACATTCGTTATCAGGAATAATACATTATTGGTTGTTGCAAGCTATCTACCATGCAAATTGTCCACTTATTCATTAAAAAAAACAAATAACTTCCTCAATAAAGAGAAACGTAGCTCCAAAACATGACCAGGATACTGTATGTAACAAAATAAATATGTTGTATAATTCATGAAAAGACATTTCTAGTTAACTATATTGGCCTTCTAGTCTTTTCATGTACTGAAGGGAATATCATCAGAGACTGAACGGCTCACAGTAATGGCAAGAGGAGGAGGAGTAATTTGTAGCGTTTATCCCCCGATCCTGCATTAGAAATACTAAAACTTAAAATTGGAGACATTTAGTGTGTGCATCCAGCAATGAAACAACTAGGTGCTGAGAAAGCACTTTCCCCAAAATGATTGAATGGAAAATAAAACAGGTTACAAATCAGTTTTAAAGCTGAACTCCAGGCAGATGATATAAAAGATGCCAATAAATGCAGCTCTGTATTCATTGAAACACTGTTAAATGTATTTTGCTTTGTAGTGTAAGTACCTAAACTTGACCCGCTATCGGCCTTTTGCAGTCCCCCTTACAGCAGAGCCGAGACTGGCAGAGGGAGAAGCAGCATATGAAAACAGTCACTTGTGCTGCAGTGCACATGCACCATTGGGGAGTGGGCATGCTAGAGGAGGGAGCAGAGTGGCCAATGAGCTTATCAATCTGCTGTTTCCCCTGTCACTGTTCAGTTGCAAGCTGGACAGCTGGTATATGTATACAATTAACGGCCTGTATTGGATACCTTTTGGCCTGCTTAATATACAGCTGAAAGTGTTCTGTTAGAACTGGTTAATAAGTACAGAAACTAGCTGTTGGTTGAGTAAGCCGATAACTTCCTGTGCTCTGCTTGAGCACAAGTAAGGGTTATGGACCTGAGGAGAGTGTGGGAAGGGAGGTAGTGGAAATAGCCTTTAAAGAAAAGCAAAATATTGGCTTATGTACATTTAGGGATGAACTAGCGAATATAATGGTAATGCTGTAGAATAGGCATCTGAATGTGTTTCCCCCCCCCCCCCTTCACACACAAAACAGGGTATGACGGAACACCCGGTCATGAACAAGGTATGCAGGACACACTAGTCTCCCAAAATGCAGTGCATGGTATTTAGGTACCAGGTTACCAGACGAGAATACTGTCAGATAAGGGTGTGCCAAGCCTATACATTTCCACAATCCTGTATATGCATTGGCTGAAGCGTTATACTGGGCAGTATTTAAAATGGGTCGGAGCATGCACCTGTTTCTTTCTATACAGCGCCACTTGTGATTAAAGGAAGTGCAAAAGTTATTGCATACAGTGTGAGGCACTATTAAAATAATAATTAATAATGTTATTCATGAATTGGCACTTGTATTAAATTAAAAGATAACTATGGAGTAAGTTTTTTTCCCCATAGTTCTCTTAAGGGTCATGGGAGGACATATACTAGCGTCCTCCCATGGCGCAAAGCTCAGTATATACAGCTTGCGGTATACTGAGACGGCCACAGCCGGGACAGATCCCTACATTACTGTCGAGATCCACCCAGCTGCGTGATTGACAGCTGGCTCTGCCTATCTAGAGGCAGAACCAGCTTTACCCGCCCCCTCCCGTCTGTTCCTCCACTCAGCGCTGGAGGATCGTGGGAAATCCCTTTAGGGAGCCGTGACTGACAGTTACCGCTCTCTGCAGGGAGATGATCGAGAAGTGAGCGAGCGACCTGATCTATAGAGCCGACGTGTGACAGTTTCATTGTCACACGTCGGCTCGAACTATGAAGATGAGTGATTTTCCCTCACGTCATAGTTCTCCTTTAAAGACATTTAGGTTTGTTCACACCAGCCCCACTGGGCTGCTGACTAACACACTTCCATCGCAGACAAGCCAATCTGCATTATGTTCTATTAGTTAAGTCCATAGCATTGTGTTGGAGAAAAGTACGACATGCATTTCTGCAACGTACTATAACGGACCATAGTGTACTGAAGCACAGAGTTAAATGGACTGTAAAGTTTAAGAGCAAGCACTAGCATTTTATAATAACACAATTATTTCATTTTATGAGAGTTATTAAAGTGACATTAAACCCTCAGAATTTTTAACATAAAACAATACTGTAATGTGCGCCTTACTGTAATCCATGGTTGTTTCTCTTCTCTTTGCTGCTCTTCCTTTTAAATCTGTATCTGTTCTCATGCTCTGCAGAACTTCTGTTTGGCAGCAGACTGCCTTGTCTCTGAAATGGATACATGGTGTCTGTGTGTAGGTTTGCAACCTGAGCCAGCACTACAGGAAGAGGCACTGAGCTGAAAAGGGAAGTTCTTCCCAAGCATGAGAAGACATGAGGATTTAAAAGGAAGAGCAGCAAAGAGAAGGGAAACAACCATGGATTACAGTAAGGCACACATTACAGTATTGGTTTATGTTAAAAATTCTGAGGGTTTAATGTCACTTTAAGTGTATTAAATTCTGTGTCAGTGTACAGTTACACAAGCACAAAGTCATGAAATGAAAAGCAATTGCCTTTAGTATGTCAGAGTAAAGCAAATAAAGTGTGAAAAGATCTGTTTTAAAGATATTCTAAAATGGCCTGGACAGATTTGTTGGTACTCCTAGAAAACAGTACCAATAATTGGATTAGAGAGAGATTTCAAATTGTATGATGCAATTAGAATCATGCCTTAAATCTTATAATCAGTCATCCTATTTAACCACTTGCTGACCGGGTGTTTACACCCCCTTCCCATCCAGGCCATTTTTCAGTTCAGCGCTGCGATACTTTGACTGACGTTTATTCCGTCATGCAACGCTGTACTGAAATTAATTTTATACCATTTTTTGGGGACAGATAGAGCTTTCTTTTGGTGGTACTTATTCACCACTCGGGTTTTTATTTTTTTACTATATTAAGAAAAAATTACTGAAAATTTTTGAAAAAAACATTTTTTTTTTACATTATGTTAGGAAACAATATTACCCATTTTTTTGGTAAAATATAAAAAACACACGAGGTCACGTCGGGTAAACAAACACCAAACATGTCAAGCCTTAAAAATTGCGTGCGCCTGTGAAATAGCAGAAAACGACGAAGCCCAAAATCGGCCATAGGCGACGCTTTAAAAACTTTTAGCGCTCATCAGTTTAGTGTTATCAGTGATTGATGGGCCCTAGAATTATTGCTCTCACTGTGCCGTAATGGGCGCAATCGGCGTTTTTGCATGTATGCGCACCCGACGCATGTTTGCATGCGTGTATGTATGGTTGGGGACTTTAAAAACATTTTCTTGTTTTTTTCTTTTTCATGTGTGACTAATTTTTTGTTGTTGCAACTTTACATTTTTTTTTCTTAACTTTATTGTTGTCACATAGGGGGCTAAGAAACCCCCCTTTGCGATAGCAAAGAGGATGTGACAGGTCCTCTTTATGGAGACATCAGGGGTTTCCAAGACCCCTGTCACCTAGGGACCCCCCAAAGGTGATGAAGCAGAGATCTGCTTCATCAGCTTCTCTCCAGCGTCTGAAGCTGGAGAGTGAAAGCAGAATGTGGAAGTGATGTAATATACACCACTTCTGCGTTCTGACAGCGGAGAGGGGATCGGAGGGAGATCGTGTACCGATCTCCCTCTGATCCCGTCACAGAGCCACCATGCTGGTCCCGGGCTCGCACCGGGCACAGTGGAGCTCGGGACCAGTGGGAGGGGGCGCACAGAACGGCACGTTATACAAAGCGATCCGCCAGCTCTATACCCGGTGGATCGCTTGTATGTAAACAAGCATCGCTGCCGGTTTTTAAATCTTGGCAGTTTCTCATGCGCGTGAGTGGGTGTGGCTAACAGGATGTCTTTAAACGGCCGGTCAGATCCAGGAAGCTCCCGGCCGGCTGCTTTGTTACAATGGCCAGAGAAAGCAAATGAGAGAGTTGCCTGAAGAGATCAGAAAAAAAAAAAAAAAAGTATAGATCAGCATGCAAAAGTAAAAGCTAGAAGACCGCCAGGCAGCTTGATGTTCCTGTGACTAAAATTAGAAATAGTTATTTCAGGGAAAATGGTGGGTTCTTTTTCATGGAAGGATACCAACAAATTTGTCCACAGCAGTATGTCAGATGAAAGAAATCTCTTTTGCGTCTTTAAGGCAGCCTCCTAAATATCACAAGCTACCTAATGTGTATTGCTACCATTAGCCTGTCGCATGAGACCAGAAATACCTTAATCTTAAAACTGCCACCAAAATAAATAAAATTGGCTGGAGTTCAGCTTTTTTGTTACAATAAATATCCCACAACCTTGAAGACTTAGAGAAAAGGAAAAAAACAACAACAGAGAAAGAATGGATTAGCAACTTGCTCTTGTTGTTTGCAGAATATCACTACATGTGCACTTTAAACTGGCTTCTGAGGTGTGAGGTAGTTTTTGCCAACTTTGTCTTGCGTCTCGAAGTTTGGGATACTACACCTCCCCAAAGTTGGTGTGCCCAGTTTCCTTGGCATGATCTCTTGCTGCCAACTGTCCAGTTAATCCTTTCTGGCAAACCATACAGCGCAGGGCAAATCTATTCACATCTGTAAATTTCCTTTTCTTCCTGGCTTCTTCTGCCAACTCCAAGGCCTGCACCAGTGCGTCATCATCTGTTGTGGAAAAGATGGTCATAGGGGGCATGCTAGGATCAGGAAACTGGCGTTGTAAAGGGTCATAGTGAATGCCATCATAAATCAGCAAAACCCGTCTGCTGTAGCCAGCATCCTCCCCAAAACGATCGATTCTCACAGTCTGTGTGTCCACAACACAGATTTCACACTGATAAAATTTGGAAAGTATTGAAACCTCTATAGCTCCGCCCCATGTATCATCCCTACGAATCCACAAGCAATATTCTTCGTTGCCTTTTCCCAGCACGGCTTCGGAATAACTTGTTGGATCACTTGCAACAATTTCAGCTATAAGGCTGCGCATTTCTGGTGCACAGGCTGGGTCATATACACCACCTTCCACCACATAGTAAACACTGGTGAAGAGACAGGAATTGTCTGCTGGAACAACTCTACGAACAATCGCTGGAGCCTTTGGGAGAGTCTGATCATTTATACATTGCTTCACGATAGTAGCAGGCTTGCTTTTATCTTCTTCCACAATCAGTGTGTCACCTGTTTAAAAGAGATAAAAATGTGCACCATGAATACCTGTCAAACAAAACATAGATCATTGTATTACATATACAGTACTTAAATAACATCAGCAATTTAAAGATGATGGCAACAAATTCTTAGAAAAAAGGGGGAAATAATGAACAAAACAAACCCACATTTAGTACACACAAAAATGTTTGTGCCCGAAGACATTTTCTACAGTTTTTGCATTTAGCAAATTCTCTAGCTTACAATGGCTATAAATACTTTCCAGTGACCAATTCTACATTCAGTATAGATTCTAATCCATTAACGCATTACAAACCTAGGGCAGGGAATCACATGTATGTAATGTACAAAGCACAGGATTGAGCTATGTAATGTCGAGAGTAGAGGGATCGGATGCATCTAAAAAGATTATCCAAGATGTACATATTCGTATAGAAAGATTCCCGACAATATATTGCTCATTTGAGAGTGTATGATGTGTCTTCCACATGTGTTTGTGTACGCACAGAGAAGTGTAGTTTGGGCACTGTTGACTCTCAAGGGGATCCTTTGAGTGACAAGAAGCCCTCCACAATTTCTCCAACAAGAAGCTGCTCGCTCCCTCCAGGCACTTCTGCAGGAGGACATTTCATGTAAACAGAGGGGAACACTGGGGTCTGTCTGGTATTACATAGTGCACAGCACAGGGATGCATGTGAAGTGACCCTTGTATACAATGGAGTATAAAAAACAAAACAAACAGGAGCAGGAAAAGACACCTACAGAAATGAGGTATCACCACAATGCCCCTGGCTTCATCCATCTTCTTTTCCCTGGGCTGTCAGCACCACAAAGGCCTTACCTGGGGGCTTCCAGAAACCCCTCATCAACCTGGCCTCTCTCACTAGACCTTGGAGTCTTACTAGGGATGTCCCGATACCAATACTAGTATTGGTTTCAGGGCCGACACGGGTACTTTTTAGGTTCCGAAACCTTGCATGTGTATGTGATGCCATGTTTATTCAACATCAAATAAAGACAGGAGGATAAAGTGGACCTCTGGTTTGCTGGTAGCGTATTACTTCTTTACCCTGTGGATAACTGAAACAATGCCGACGTGGCTGGAAGTATCAAAATGCAAAGTCCATTACCTCAGGCCCCATTCACACTGAGCGATTTATCGAGCGATTTTTGCAGCGATATCGCTCATATTTCCACACGATAACGCTCTATGTAGCTTCTCCAATCCATTTCAATGGAGCTGTTCACATCTCGTCGCTCAATATCGCTTGTAGCTCGTCGCTGGTAGCTTGTCGCTCCTACATGACCCTTTTTTCGAGCGATTTCGAGCGATATTGCTCCTGATTGCATACAGCCCAATAGGAAAAAGTGGCGCGACACGTCGCGCAATATCGCTCAAAATCGTGCGATTTTCATGTCGCTCAGTGTGAATGAGGTCTAATACTGTAAATTCCCAGTTATTCAGCACCCATGAGGATCGGTAGGTGCCGGATAAATGTAGTTTCTGGTTCCTTGAGAGTTAATAGTAACTCTCAAACAACTAAACCCCTCCCTCCCCCCACTGGTTGCTTAAATGCCAGATAATGGGGAGTTTACAGTAGAAGGTTGTATTGCCATGATCAGTGGGAAACTGACATAAAAAGCTATTAGACACCGAGTACGTCCTGCAGTAGTACCACTGCTCTGAACCTGAAGAGTTCTCCGTGGTTATCTGGCTCAGAACACAGGATCTGGAAGCTGCAGAATACAGAGCCTAGTGCTCATAGTGCACTATATAGATATTCTGCATGGTGCTTTATGCTGCAAGTGATATTAGCATGGAGAACTCCTTCCTTCCGAGGTAATGCCATTGCCAGAGAATGGCATTACGTCAGAAGGAAAAAGGGCCGATAAAGCTGAACTCCAGGTATAAATTATGCATAATGACATTGGGTTAGCGTGTTCTAATGCAAGTATGCATATGTCAAGCCTGATCAGCCCACGGGGATCCTGTAAATGTCTGTAGTAGTCAGAGCTACTACAGCACTGGATGCAATTTCTGGCTCCTGTATGGTGCGGTGCTGAGCAGCTTCCACTCTGCTCTTAAAACACAGGGGTCAATCACTCATCACCGCAGCCATTCAGAGAACTCCTAATATTTTTATCAATGAATACAACTGCGATTTCTCCTGTGCGTTTAGCAGCGTATGGCTGCAGCCTGTCACCGATTTGTACAGATAGGCTGTTCGCAACACCTGTGGCTCCCGGGTGCAAAGATCCGGCCACTTTTCCCAGTACACAGACCTCGTGTCTGCATGAATAAGCCCTTTATCATTGATAAGATTGCTAGAAAATACAGAAAGGAAACATACCTGATTTGTAAGTGTTGCTCCCTGGATGCCTCCTCCTGCAAATTATAAGAATTTACCACCTCCCTCCTCCAGCTGGCAAGGGAGTGATGCATGTAGATGGGTGTTTTCACTCCTGCCTGTGTACTCCAGAGTGATCCTGCCTCTGGCGAGAAAGGATTGCCAGTATTATATGGCAATAAGATCCGCTTCACAACTACGCGTTTTGTAGCGCGTCACAAGCATTATCTCGATTGTTTTTCAGGTGTTTTTGCTACTGGTACCGTTGGGCCAAATAGAAAACCACCTGATTCAAAAACACTTACAGGGTTATTCACAAAAGGGTGAAGAGTTTGGACAAGACAGGAGAAGTGACCAATCTAGGAGAACTCAATGGAACTGGAAAGTGAGCTGAACTGGAGAATTTTTCCAAATCGATTATGTTGTCCTGTCACTTCTCCTGCCTTCTCCAAACTCTTCACCCTCTAGTGCATAACCCTGTTAGACCCCATTTACACCAGGTCTGTTTTTCAATGGATGCCAATGGAAGGTAACTCAAAGAAATGAATGGGTGTGAATGAGACCAGTTCACACCGCTCAAATCTGTTGCCAAAAAAAAAAAGTAGAACATGCCTACTTCTTTTTCAGCGTAATGCAACACAAGGCAGAGGTGTGTATTAGCCCCAGGGGCGTAACTAGAAATCACAGGGCCCCACAGCAAAATTTTGTATGGGGCCCAGTGATTGCTAGTTATGCCACTTGCAGAGCCCACCTGATATACCAAACAGCCCACCTGAGAGTGACCCTGCAGAGCCTGCCATAGACTCTCTATAGTGGGCTCCGCAGGGTCTCAGATGGGCTGCACACCTCTTACCTGTCAGCGCTGTCCGCCTCCGTTGTCGCCGGGGCCCCGCCTCCTCTTCCGTTCCCCCTCCTCCTCTTACATCACTGGCCCCACCTGCTCTTAGGTCGCTGGCCAGTGATGGAAGAGGAAGCGGGGTTGCTCTTAGGCGGGCCCCGCCTCCTCCTTCACTGCGAACGCTGGTTGTCACTGACACAGCTCCGCAGCGGCTATGAGGGGAAACGCCACTGCTGAGCTGCGTCAGTGAAAGCCAGCCTGAGCTGCGTCCTGTGGGCCGCCTGGGTTGATATTACATGCCATATCAACCAAGGCGGCCCACACGGCATCAGAGGGATGCCCTGGCCGGGCCCCATAGCGGCCGCCTGTGTCACTATGGCGATTGTTACGCCACTGATTAGCCCCATTCACTTTTCGGAGCCCTTACATTAGCAGTTGTTGAAAAACAGATCACAGCGGATGGGAAGGAAATCGAAAGGTACAATCGTTAGTCAAAGGACCCTCCTGACTTAAGCTTGTGACACACTGCATGCAAAGCAGAGCAGAGTGGTGGTGCGCGGACCTTCGCATGCAGTGTGTCATGTCATTTTCACTCCAGCACATCAGCTTGCGAGAGCTCACATAGCCGAGCGTGCCCAGGTGAAAAACGTCATCTTCAGCCAATCGGCTTGTGCGTCATGATGCAAAGTCTATTCTGTTGTAATAAACCAATAGTGACTAGCACTCCAATGCAAATCAAAGTTAATCTCCTTTATTGACATTGGTGATGTTACATTTAACAAAAAGCGATGTTTCGGAACCAAGTGGTCCCTTCCTCAGGCAAACAAAAAGCGTTTGTTTGCCTGAAGCACCCCCCAACCTTCCTACGTGGGCTCGATAAAACCAATCAGGAGGGCGATGGGACTTGAAGTCTATTCGGTTGTAACGCACGAGCCGATTGACTGAAGACGCAGTCTTTCATCTTGCAGGGCTCAGCACACACACTGTAAGGTGCGAACGTCCGTGTCTCACAGCTTTGCATGCAGTCTGTCACGGGCTTTGTGATTACCTTCCGATTTTGGTGTGAACGGGCTCTTAAAAGCATACGCGCATTAAAAAAAAAGCTGGAAAAAAAACAAAACATCAACACCTATATGTGAACAAGGCCTAGTCTGATAACATATAGGCGATTCTGACGCTAGAGCCAAATAACCAGCGGCAGGATCACTAAGGCCTCATTCACATGTAAGCATGTGATGACGCACATTACCACACAGTCACAGGCGTTAGTTTCCTGCGCACAGTATTTTTAAACACACGCCAAACATGAGAAAAGTTGCAACGCAGCAAATTCTGTGATATTCATTCCGCGTTTTTTTCCAGCTAACTAGTAACGGCACCGCAAGAGCAATACCGGTAGGTGCAGGTTCCTGATACACCTCTGTGAACGTAGGAACTGCCACATTGCCCCTATAGAATTGCTCTAGCAAGCTTGACGCTGCTGAATCTCAATTGCTAGCAATGGGAAAGCTATCCCCCACCTCATCTACAGAGGGGGTTATTCCATTGTGACAAACAACAGTGACCCTGCCAATGTGACAGCCTTAGAATCACCACCATTGCCATACAGGACAGGTTCTTCCTTCAACGATCCATTCCAATGGGAACCCAAGAAGGCCCGTGCATCAAATGACAGTGTGCAATCCAATAGGAGGGTGTACGGCCAGCCTGTGCACTAGCAATCATTACCTGATTTGATAGGCAGGTCCCGCAGGGTGGCATCACCATCACTCAGGTCTAGATTGGCGGGGGGATAGCCCACCATGATTCGCTGCCCGGGCTCGGAGATGCCACTCGCCCCGGCTATCCGCTCCTGCAGCTCCCGGACGCTGGACATGTCCGTTAGCCCCTGAAGCAGGTACGTTCCCTGCCGGGTTTTACAACGAAGCCGCAACATTTCAACCACTGACACCGCTAACGATGAAACAACTAAACAATGACCAGGGATGCCGGGTAGCCACGCTCAGTGACATCAAATCTCGCGAGAGTTCATGTCGTTACGCGATCCTTCATGTTGGTACACCCAGGATGTTTCTCACTTTATTAGTATTGTGCAACATAACTTTTGCTGTTTAACATGCTTGGTTCTCTCGATGTAAAACTGTAATGAACACAACGATAGTATAGTCTTTCTGTGCTTCTAAAAATAAAAGTATAAGGGTCCATTCGCACCAGATGCGTTTTCAGTTTTTCAATGCACAACAATAAAAAACACATTATAATCATGGATATAGGGCACTTTTTACACAGGATCTTGTTGCCAGCCTGTGCCAGCAAGAACTTTTTGACTAGTTGCTGTATTTTCATACAGCATGAGCCATTACTAGTATGAGAAGTATTGAATGTGTAAACCACAAAGGATTTAATGTAAACATAAGAACTACCCAGAAAGCAAGGATAACGTGCCACAAACTTGTGGCAGGGTTAAATTGTAATTCTTGTTAACTTGCTGCACACATTCCTGGCAAGTTGTAGACTTGCAGAACACTTGCAGCACCAGTTCTGGTTGACACTTTTTGAATTTGTAGAAAATTTGCTTGCCAAGTCTACAGCAAGAGTCCTGCAGGACAGCGTGCAGCCCCAATCACAGGCACGGAGACATTTCCCGATCTCTGCAGCTGCGGACCGGGAAAATGTCTCAGTACCTGTGATTGGCGCTGCGCGCTGTAAGCTTCCTGGCGGGCTCGGCACGTGGAGCTGCGAACACGCCCGAGCCCATCCTTATTAGCAGGGGTTGAAAAATTTGATGGTGTCTCACCAGTCATTCAAAAATGTCACCAGTCAGCATGACCGGACTATAGCCTTGCAATTTATGTTAACATTTTTTGGGGACAGATAGAGCTTTCTTTTGGAGGTATATTATCACCACTTGGGGGGGGGCGGGTTATTTTTTTTAACTATATAATGAAAAAAGTACCATAAATGTTAAAAAAAGTTTCCCTACGTTATGTTATAAAACATTTATTCTTACCCATATTTTTAGTAAAACATAAAAGTCGGGGTCACGTCGGGTAAATAGACACCAAACATGTCAAGCCTTAAAATTGCATGAGCCCGCAAAATCGCAAAAAACGCCCATAGGCGACGATTAAAACACTTTTACTGCTCATCAGTTTAGTGTTATCAGTGATTAATGGCTCTAAAATTATTGCTCTCACTCCGATGTTTGGTGCGATATGTAACATGTGCGGCACAATAGGCCCAATCGTCGTTTTCGCACGTAGGCGCACCCGACGCATATATGCGTGTGTATGTGGGGGGCAGGAACTTTAAAAAATGTTTTTCTTTTTTTCTTTTTTATGCTTCTTTAGTTTTTTTATGATTCTTTAATTTTTGTATTACTTTTTTTTTTACAAACAACTTTATTGCTATTTCATGGGGGGCTAAGAAGCCCCCTATGTGATAGCCAATTTACATGACAGGTCCTCTTTATGGAGACATCAGGGGTTTCCAAGACCCCTAATGTCACCTAGGGACCCCCAGAGAAGCTGATGAAGCAGAGATCGGCTTCATTAGCTTCTGTAGCTGGAGAGTGACACTGAATGCAGGAAGTGATGTTATATACATCACTTCCTGCATTCGGGGACTGAGAGGAGATCAAAGGGAGTTTGTGTACTGAAATCCCTTTGATCTCCTGTCACAGAGCCGTGCCGGTCCCGGCCGCATCGGGCACAGTGGATCCCGGGACCGGCAACGGCAGTGACAGCTGCTGATACAAGCGATATAGCGTCTCTTGAGACGCCTGATCGCTTGACTGTAAAGCTCCCGGTCGGCCGTGTAATTACAACGGCCGGCCGGGAAGCTGCTCGTCGGGCTCCACTGTCCTCTCGTCACAGACGAGCGGACGAGTGGATTTTTGAAGCCCTGCTTATTAGCAAGGGCTCTGCAAGTGTACAGCACTTTTGCAAAGCACGTTGATCTGGAGACTTGCAATGCAGACTTGCTGTAATTGTGCAACAAAATTGTGAAGCTTGGCAAGTCTGCAATAGTTTAGCAAGTCATTTTCAAACTTGCAGCTCAATTGCTTGCTATCTGGGTAGAACAAAGAGAAATAAAGGTTTTACATTAGCAGTGAAATTACTTTGTTTCCTAGTGCAAGATAAGGCCTGACATCTAATTTCTATCCTGATTGCTATTTATGGGTTAACTTAGACCCTTCTTCATTTTTTTTTCAACATGAAGCTGCAGTTGTCTTTGATATTTTCCTGGACTGGCTGGTAAAAATAGTTGTTGTAAGTTTGCTATATATGTGCAATCTTAAAAAATTAACTGCGCTTTCAGCCGCTGGTCGATCATTAACCTACTACCAGCTGACTTTGGGTCAAAGGACTACATTAGTAAATGTACTCTTGTGATGCAAAAGAGAAGAAAAAGCAAAATATTGGCTTTACTTCTCTTTTAAAGCATTGACAAAGACCTGTCACAGAGATGTCAACCTGGGAGAACAGTTTCATGCACAATAAAGAATTGTTGCATAGGAAATGACGCTGCAAAATATAAGTATTAAACTTACAATCATATCCACGCCCCTATCTAAAGCTTAGTGCCCCTCCCAGCAGCTGTGCCATAGTGATCAAACCACCTATAAAGATGTACATCAAATATTACACAGTGCTATGTAAAATAAAATTAATTTATGTCAAGTGACAAGGTGCAAAAAGTTATTTTACATTGCATAAAAATTGAAAAAGCTTTTTCCAATTTAATAATTACAATGATACATAGGCAAGTGCCACTTTCAAATATCCAAAACTGTGCCGCTTGATAATCACAGTAAATATGCAAGTGTCAGTATAAAACAGCTCTAGATGTCCACTATTGCTAATGTGTAAATATAATCCAAAAGTGTGAAAAGGATGCTCCAAAGTTGCTCCTCTGATCCCCTTTATAGTGCTCCTTCCAGATTCAATCAACTGACCGTATAGGATGGGCGATTGTTAACAAATGGTGAAATACTGCTCAAAGTTATTTCCTCGGCACCAGACTTCTCCAAAACACATCTTCGTATACCAGCAAATAGTGGCCCCTTATACGATATTAGCTCAATAAAAGATGTAACCATGGTGTAAAATTGTTCAAATGTTTTATTAAAACATTTTAATAAAATGAGAACAAAAAAACAACAACACATTCACAATGTTAGGTGCTTAAACGGCACCACAGATCCGCTCATTGAGAGAAGTCCTCTTGTTGTCCTAGTTGGGACATTACATACACCCGGTACTTCCTGGTGTATGTAATGACGAATCCGCACACCCTGCACATTTTATCATAGACTTCATTAGGGGTGGTATACGTGCTGAAACAATCTAAGCTTCTTATATTATACATAGTCCCGCCCATGTATCAACCCATATCCTAACACAGTGCCTCCTTCAAATCATGACCCCCCCTTCACATCAGAGTCACCCATTGCATTAGTGGCCCCCTACCTTTCACATCAGAAGCCCCACTTTCATATCAGGGTCCCCCCTTTCACATCAGAGTTCCCCTTTTACATAAGGAACCCCTCACATCAGTATTTATTCTCCCTTCACATCACAGTGTCACTACCACAACATTTTGAGGTACCATTGAGGAAACCAGGAGGCACACCGGTGTGCTACAGCACCCTGGTTGAGAAAGGCTATCCTAGCACATAACATCAAGCTGTACTACCTCTATCTCACCACTAGATGTCAATATTTGCAATAGAGAAGCAATAGCATAGCAATCTTATTGAGGGGTATACAGTATCCATACCCAGTTCATAGCATTCTATACATAAATGAATCAATCAAACCCTAATATTATTGAATTAGATCCAACTATATACACTACCGGTCAAAAGTTTTAGAACACCCACATTTTCCCTGTTTTTATTGAAATTTACACAGTTTAATGTCTCAATATACTCTCAAAATAAAGAATAGAACAAATAAACAATTGGACATCCAAAAAAACAAACAAACACGTATGCCATGTTTTTTTTTGCCATGTCTTTTTCTTCTTCTTTTCTTTAACAAAATGTAATCTAAATTTTTGACCCATCAAAGTAGCCACCTTTTGCATATATAACAGCCGAACACCCTCATGGCATTCTTTCTACAACTGATAGCAAATATTGTTCGGAAAGTTCTTTCCAACACTGTTGCAGAAGTTCCTAGAAAAGTGTTGTACTTGTAGGAGTGTGGAAATTTTTAAAAAGACTACTAGTCCAAGGACTAAAGTAGGGATGCACCGATACCGGTATTTTGGTACCGAGTACCGATAATTTTTTTCCGATACTCGCCGATACCAATTACCGAGTAACAGAAGTCCCATTCAGGAAGCCAGGTGGCGTTTAATGACTCGCCACCTAGCTTCCTGTTTAGCCGTGAAGCCGGGCAGCGTGTAAAGACTCGCCACCCGGCTTCCCAATTAACAAGAAAGTCCCCTCTTACCTTGGTATGTCCAGCCTGTCACCCCCGGCGCCTCTCCAGCCAGAATGCGGCCTTCCTCTGGTACCCAGCCGCAGCAGTCTGGCCGGCCAATCAGGAAGCCGGGCGCCGTGTAATGGCGTGACGCCCTGCATTCTGATTGGCCGGGAGGCCTGCTTCATGCTCCCTTGTCATGACATGATGATGTAGCATGAAGCCAGCTTCCTGGCCAATCAGAAAACCGGGTGCCGCGTCATTACACGCTGCCCAGCTTCCTGATTGGTCGGGAAGTCGGCTCCATGCTCTCTCATCACAAGTGACGAGAGAGCATGGAGCCGCTTCCCGGCCAATCAGGAAGCCCGGCAGCGTGTAATGACGCACTGCCCGGCTTCCTGATACAGGAAGTACTCGTGCTGGGCATCGGAGCATTTGTACAAGTACGAGTATGAATACTCGCCCAAATACTCTGTATCGGCACCAATATCAACACTAGTATTGGTATCGGTGCATCCCTAGACTAAAGCAGGGGGCCCGATCTACTTGTCTCTCATGACAATCTACTTGTCCTGATAC